TATTATATATATATTACACACACACACACACACACACCACACACACACACACACACACACACACACACACAACACAACACACACACACACACACACACACACACACACACACACACACACACACACACACACACACACACACACACACATATATATATATATATATATATATATATATATATATATATATATATATATATAATATATAACACGCGCACGCACACACACACACATGTATGTATGTATGTATATGTATCTCATTTCTCTCTCGTATTTGTCCACATCCGTTTCAATGCCGGAGAATGAAATAACAAGGGAATAAATAAACAAGAAAACTTTGCATGATATTCCTCCTCCTATTACTAATTGAGGATCCTATGGCAATCCGCACACTTGAAGGATTCCGAAGGACCCATTGCCAAGATTAAGACGTCAAGAGTTGACCCTGATACATGTCGATGACGTAACCTGGCGGTGGAGCGGCGAACCACGTGCTTAGCCTTTAGTAACGACTCCAACCAACAGATGGCACTGAGAGCCCCGAAATGAACGCGTGAAGAATGTCGGCGGCAAAGGCGATTTGGGGGGGCTGACTTTCGCAGTCTTCACTTCTTTTTCGGTTTGTTTTGTCTGTCTGTCGTCCTCTGTCTTTTGTTCTATCCACATTCTCTCTCTCTCTCTCTCTCTCTCTCTCTCTCTCTCTCTCTCTCTCTCTCTCTCTCTCTCTCTCTCTCTCTCTCTCTCTCTCTCTCTCTCTCTCTCTCCTTTCGGAATAGATAACTAAATATTTTTTTTTCCCTAAATGCGTCATAAATAGCAAGAGTCTTACAGAGACTATGCGGTATAGCCTTTAAAATGGTAGTAGAATGAACTCCGTTCATGAATGTTTTTTTCTTAGCATTTTGCCATTTGTACGAAAAGGAAACATATTTTCCCCCCATTACTAAGCTTCCCTTTAAAACCTGCTTGTGACATGACTAACACCTTGTTTCCTCAGACGTGCTAGAACGTATACAGAATACAGCATGACGCACGGGCTTGCCTACACACACTGATACCTTGTTTAATAATAGTGTGATGGGTAGGTAAACCCCTTCGAACCTCGTCGTTTTGCTCAGCGTCTAGACGGGTTGGGCGACTCGCAGACGGCCCCTGCTGAAGAATTTTTGCCCAGGTGAAAGACGACTCAAACCGGAAATGCATAAAGGGTGGCACTGGGATATATGTGTGTGAGAGAGAGAGAGAAAGATAGAGAGAGGGTAGGGAGAGAAAGAGAGAGTGGGGGATAGGGATGTGAAATATTCTATTCTCTCTTCTCTCTCTCTCTCTCTCTCTCTCTCTCTCTCTCTCTTCTCTCTCTCCCCCCTCCTTCTCTCTCTCCCTCCTTCTTCTCTCTCTCCCTCCTTCCTCTCTCCCTCCTTCCCTCTCTCCCTCCCTCCCTCTTCTTTCCTCCTTTCCATCTCCTCTCTCTCTCTATCTCGCCTTCCTTCCTACCTGCCTTTCTTTTCTTCCTTCCTCCCTCCCTCTCCCTCTCTCTCTTTCTCTGAGCCGTCCTGTGAAGAGTATGCGTAGAGTGCAAGGGGGAACGGAAGGCCCAGCGGCCAGTGCCAAGACAGGGCCGTGTCATACCTGTCGTGTCATATCTCATGTTCCTTCTCATGGCATCGTCCTCCGAGCGTGTCATGCCCAGGTTGGCATAAGACACTGCGTCTTGTTTACCTGTGGGATGATCTTAGGTCATGGTCGTAGTGTCTTGTGCGTATATTGACCTCAATTTTTCAATACATGCTATCCTCACTCCCTATCTAGTACAGTCGCCTCCTAAGTCTGTGTTCAGGAGGGCTTATCGTCTGGTATCAGCTAAGAGGGGCGGCTGTCGTTAAGGTCGCACGCTGTTACCAAGAAAGGAAATTATGAGACTCTTCCCCCATTGCCTCTCCCTCTCCCTCTCGTTCTTTCGCCACTCTTCGTCCCCTCTCTGTCTCTTCTCCGCTCCCTTCCCCTTCTGTATGTTTGTTTTTCTCCTTCCTCTCCTATCTCCTTTCCTTCTCCCCTTTGTATCGCGTTGTCCTCTTCTTTCTTTCCCTCTATATCCTCCCCAACATCCTCTCCCCCTTTGTCTCCTCCCCTCGCCTCTTTCCATCTCCATATTCGCCCTGATCCCCTCCCTCCTCTAACTCCCCCCTTCCCCATCTCTCTCCTTACCCCGTCCTTCCCCTCTCCATCCCCTCGCTTCCCCAATTCACCCCTGCCCCTCTTTCCCCATCTACCTCCACTTCTCCCAACCCCCTCTACCTCCAACCCCCATCCCCTTTCACCCTCTACCCTCCATCCCCTCCCCTTTCCCCCTCCCTCTTGCTCCCTTCCACCGCCCTCCCCTCCCTTCCCCCTCCCCTTTCCCCCTTCCACCCCTCCCCTCCCCCTCGCTAAGATCGCCCCACCGAAGAGCGTGGAGGCGCCCCTCGAACGCATAGGCACCCGCGCGCTGTGCCACTTGGCTCCCTTCCCACCAACTCCTTTGAGTCGAGCACACAAACCTTCGCGTAGACAGTAGCTCCCGTGTGGCTGTGTTGTGCCGTTCTCGTGTCCTCGCTGGTGTGGGCGACGCGGCGTGACTTGAGGGTGTTTCTCGCCACAGGCTTTGACACGCCCGTGAGACTAGGGTGAGGAAGCGAGGAGAGAGAGGGAGAGGGAGAGAGGGAAAAAAGAGCGCCGGGGATGGTTTGGATATGCCTGGGGACAGGGAGAGAAGAGAGAGGGAGAGAGAGGCAGGGTGAACGTGAGGCTGAGATGCGGCGGCGGCGTGGCTCTGTGATACGTATTTAGGGCCCTTGGTGAAGCAACAACAGCCGAGGTTGCTCTGGTGGCGAACCTAGTGCTGGGATTCGCCCGAGGATGCGGCTGGGCGAAGGAGAGGAGGGCCTGCATTTGCGTGCGTGTGTGCGTGTGTGTGTGTGTGTGTGTGTGTGTGTGTTTAGAGAGAGAGAGAGAATTAATGGATGCTTAGGCGGGTATCTTTTTACATATCTCTGTATATACGTCAATATGTTGATGTATATGTGTATGTGTCTGAGCCCGTATGTTTGTGAGTGTGTGACCTTAGACTAAACCGAAGCCTCAATGCTGGGATATTTTGGTGCCGCGTCTGCTTATTGGTTTCGATCGGGAGACACAGAAAGTGAGATTGTGTACATGTTGACAGAGGTTTATATAACAAAGGCACACGCATTTACGCACATGTACGTACCTGTAGACAGAAGCTGTTTAATTACAAAAAACACATGCACACGTAAATAAAGTAACACGACGCAACGCAAACACACACACACATAACACGACGTATCCAACGCACACAGACAAAAAAAAAAAAAAAAAAAAACACACACACACTCCCTCACACACACACACTCCCTCACACACACTTATACACTCACACTCTCTCTTACAACACACACACACACACTCATACACACTCTCACATTCACACACACACGCACACACACGCACACACACACACACACACACACACACACACACACACACACAACACATACACACACACACACACTCCCTCCTCCTCATACACTTATACACTCACACACACACACCACACCACAAAATAGACAAACAAACAACACACACAAACACACACACACCACACACACTCACTCACTCACACTCCCTCACACACCCACACACACACACACAACACACACACCACACACAACACACACACACACACACACACACTCACACACACACATACACACACACACACACAACACACAAATAGACAAACAACAAACAAACACACACACACACACACACAAATAGACACACAAACACACACACGCGCACACACACACTCCCTCACACACACAGACACACTCATATACACACTCTCACAAACACACACACACACAAACGCAGAGACGCGCGCACGCACAAAGACCTATAGATAGAAGCATGTAGTATGAAGACATCACAATAACCTTTCGTCCTCCGCCTCCTAATAATTATTATGCTCCTCCTCCTTTCTTCATCTTGTTCTTCTTCGTCTAATTCTTCGTCTTCTTCCTCTTCTCCTTCTTCGTCATCTTCTTCGTCTCTTCTTCCTCTTCTTTGTTTTCTTCTTCCTCTTTGTCTTTTCTTTTCTTCATCTTCCTCCTCCTCTCCTCTCTTCTTCTCTCCTCCCCTTCTTCTTCTTCTTCTTCTTCTTCTTCTTCTTCTTCTTCTTCTTCTTCTTCCTCCTCCTCCTCCTCCTTCTTCTCCTTCTCCTTCCTCTTTTCTTCTCCCCCTATCTCTTCTTCTCCCTCCTCCTCTTCCTCTCCTCATCCTCTTATTCTCCTTCTCCTCCTCTTATTCTTCTTTTTTCTTCTTCCTCTCCTCTTTCTTCTTAATATTATCATTATTTTATTCTTCTCTTTTTTCTTCTTCTTCATCACCACCATAACCGCTTCCTCCTCCCCTCCCTCCCCTCATCATCATCATCATCATCATCATCATCCACCCCTCTCTTCCTCCTCCTCCACCACCCCCTCTCCCCCTACTCTCTTCCTTCTCTCTCCTCGTCCTTCACACCACCACCACCCCTCTCCTCCTTCTCCTCCTCCTCCTTCACCACCACCACTCCCTCTCCTCCTTCTCCTCTTTCTTCTTCTTCTTCTTCTCCTGCTCCTCCTCCTCCACCCTTCCACACCACCACCACCTCCACACCTCCACCTCCACCACTCACTCCTCTCCTCCACCCACTACCACCACCACCACTTCCACCACCACCTCCACCACTCACCCCTCTCCTCTCCTTCCTCCACCTCCACCTCCACCACCACCTCCACCTCCACCTCCACCACCACTTCCACCACCACCTCACCACTCACTCCTCTCCTCCTCCTCCTCCTCCCCTCTCCTCCTCCTCCACCACCACCTCCACTCACTCCTCTCCTCCTCCTCCTCCTCCACCACCACCTCCACCACTCACTCCTCTCCTCCTCCCGCAGGTGCCGGGTGCTGGAAGAGGAGACCGACTCCCTCCGCGCGCTTGCTTGCCTTCGAATCCCAACGACGCTCGCGAGAGAGAGCAACGAAATCGACTTGTTCCTCCTTGGAGCAGAAGCAGAAGAAGCGGAAAGAAGCGGAAGAAGAAGCAGGTGTAGAAGACGAAGTTAGCAGGAGCTGAAGTTGAAGAGGGGAAAAGGACACAAGAAGAAGGAGAGGCAGAAACTGAAGCGGAAGACGTCGCCGTGCCCGGGTGTTTGTTTCGAACGTGTCGCGACGGCGCAGAAGCAAAATTGGATAAACAGAAGTAGAAGAAGAAAGAGAAGAGGTTCTCGGAAGTGAGTCGTTTAAGAAATAGAGATAAAGAAAAAGAGGAAGAAGGAGAAAAGAGAGTGATGTCACCCATGCTAGTGTGAAGTGTGAAATTCTCTCTGCCAAAGGAGGAACGATTGTTTTTTTATTTAGATATAAGTTAATTTAGGAAGAAAAAAGGCTTATAGAAACGTCTTTCAAAGCAATTTTTTGCTTACTATTCATCACATGGTGTCAGGAAGTGTCTGTGATATATCGACCTATACAAAAAAGTAATAATAATAATAATAAAAAAATAAAAAGTGTAGAAAACGGGAAGTGAAGAAAACGAGAGAAACATCATCAACGGAGAGGAGGAACTTCGATAAAAAAAAATGGAGAATAAAAAAGGAGATAGAGGAGTCCGAAAGGAGAGAAGCTTTGTACAGGTAAGTTATCTTTGGCTTTTATCTTATTATCATAAATGCACCTCTCTCTCTCTCTCTCTCTCTCTCTCTCTCTCTCTCTCTCTCTCTCTCTCTCTCTCTCTCTCTCTCTCTCTCTCTCCCTCCCTCCTCCCTCCCTCCCTCCTCTCTCTCTCTCTCTCTCTCTCTCTCTCCTCTCTCTCTCTCTCTCTCTCTCTCTCTCTCTCCCTCCCTCCCTCCCTCTCTCTCCCTCCCTCTTTATTTTAACAGGAGAGGAAGTTCCACCCAGAATCCATCTGTCAGTGTGGTGATTTGGAATGACGAAAAAGTCTGAATAACTGATTAAATATTCGTGTTCTACCATCCATACCTCATTGTCCTTCGTTGTATAAATGCATAAGTGATGAAGTTCTGCGTGAGTTCTCCATCGGGGGGTGGGGGGGGGGGTATGTGCGTCCCCTGGGTTCGTTTTTGTTTTTATTTATATGTTTAATTTTTGGATTATTCTTTCTTTCTTTTGTTTTTGTATTATTTATTTATTTTATTGTTGTATTATTTATTTATTTTATTGTTGTATTATTTATTTATTTATTCTATTTTTGTTTCATTATTCATTTATTTTATTTTTGTATCACTATTAATTTATTTTATTTTTGTATCATTATTAATTTATTTTATTTTTGTGTTATTATTTATGTATTTTTTGTTTTTTTTTTTTTTTCATTTGAGAGTTCTGAGGACCTTGTAAGAGGGAGAGGGAGATAGAGAATTAGGAAAAGGAGGGAGAGAGAGTAATGAAGAGAGGGAGATAGAGAGAGGGAAAGAAATGGGAGAGAGAGAGGAAGGGGAGAAGACGGAGAAAGAAAGGGGAGGAGAGGGAGGGGAGAAGGAGATAGAGAAAGAGATTAAGAAAGGGAAGGGAGAGAGGGAGAGGGAGGGGAAGAGGAGACAGAGAAAGCCAGAAAGGGAGGGGGAGGTAGAGAAAGAGAGAAAGGGGGAGGAGAAAAGAGGGAGGAAACAGAGAAATAAAGAAAGAAAGGGTAAGTAGAGAGGGAGGGAGAAGGGAGATAGAGAAAGAAAGGAGAATGGGAGAGGGAGAGGAAGGAGGAAGAGGAGACAGAGAAAGAAAAAAAGGGGAAGGGAACAATGAGAGGTAGACAGACAGACAGATAGACTATTGGGGTGTCTGTGGATGTCATGATGATGGATAAGCAGGCAGAACATGTGACGGTAAAATATAATTCCTAACTCCATGCTTGGTTTAATGGTATTGTTCATCCAGTCGTTTTACATTCTGCCACCAGGGGCGCTCAGATCACAGAGATCGTTCATATATGATAATGTGTATAAAACTGCAACTAAAATATGCCTTTGTATAAAATAGATATTTCACTTCTATAAGTATACATATAAAATACTGTATATAATCACATTATCATTTTTACATATTATTGTTTCTTATAATATGGGATAATGACGTTTTCTCTTATCCTAACACAGACAGACAGAGGAGAGAGAGACACAGAGTGACAGAGTAAAATAGAGGGGTAGGAAGAAAGAGAAAGAGAGAAGGAAAGAAAACGTGAATGCGCGTGTGTATTTCGATTTTAGAGAACGTGGAATAGCGAAGTTATGCTGAAGATGCTGCGTTTTCTTTGTAAATGAATATAGGAAAATGGGAATAACTTTTACATTTTCAGAAGTTTGTAGCAATATTTTTTACTGCAATTCGTATATATTTTCTTATAAAATAAACCTTGCACAGCCATTGTCGATTTTGCAAATGTACCTGCTAATAGTAAGATACAATAGTAATATTAGATTTAGAGTTTATAAATAATGAAAGATCTGCATTAAATGGATTTTTGAGAGCCAGAATATTACACGAGGTATTTTTAAATTGGTGTTTAATTATTTTCCTCTTTTTTGCCTCTACTAAGCTTTACTACAATTTTACTACTGCTATTACTACTGCTACTACTACTATTACCACTACTACTACTATTACCACTACTACTATCACCATTAGGTGTGTTATCATAATATCATCATATTTACTGTAATTTGTTCCTGTCAAATTATTACATTTTATGTGATTCTTGTACGTTTAGTTTTTTGCTTAAATGTTTTTTTAAACTTTTATTTTACCAGTGTTTGATAGTTGCTTGTGTTTTTTATATTATAATTAGTTTCAATAGCATTTTTACAATCTTTCTTCCTTAGAATTTCCAAAAAAAAAAACTCAATCTCATTTTATATTTTTCACCTTCATGCCTTTAAAAAAAAGTCTCAATATCTTTTCCCATTTTCCCTTTTTTTAATTTGACTTATTTCGCTTCCTCCCCCTCCCCTTTCCTCCATCCCCCCCTCCCCATCCCTTCTCCTCCGTGTGCCCGCCCCCTGACCCGGTTTGACCTGGCTTGACCCCGGCTTGACCTGGGTTTTTGTCCGTGTTTAACCTTTGTGTGGAGAAGGACCGAAGTTTCCCAGAACGACCGGCTTTTTGGAGGAGTGCGTCGTTTTGCCGGGTAATGTCTTGACCTTGTTTTTGTTACCTGTTTGTGACCTTGTATACTGCTATTTATTTACTTTACGTGTGTTCTGCGTGTGACCTTATTGTTTTCTGTCTTTGACCTTACATTGGTTCTGTGTGTGACCTTATTGTTTTCTGTCTATTGACCTTATTCTGTCTGTGTGACCTTGTATTATGACCTTATTTCTGTTCTGTGTGACCTTGTATATGACCTTATTTCTGTTCTGTGTGACCTTATAGTTATATATTTGTGACCTTATTTGTACTCTGTTTGTGACCTTGTATTCCATCTGTCATTTTACTTGTTTTGTGTTATCTGTTTGTGGCCTTTCCTGTTTTTGTTATCTGTTCGTGATTTACTTGTTTTTGTTGGTATCTGTTTGACCTTACATATGTTTTTGTGCTTGTGTGTTGACCTAGTCTTATTTATTTTATTCTGTTGTTGATGAGATTATCATCATAATCATCATCGTCATCATCGTTATTATTATTATTGTACTTGTTATTATTTTGATTTATCATCATCATCATCATCATCATCATCATCATCATCATCATCATCATCATCATCACCATCATCATCATCATCATCATCATCATCAACATCGTTATTTTTATTATTGTACTTGTTATTATTTTGATTTATCATCATCACCATCATCATCATCATCATCGTCGTCGTCTTGGTTGTTATTGTTATTGCTATTGTTTTAGTGTTATTGGCATCATTATGTTGTAATTGTTGCGGGACCCATGAAGAATTTTCCCCTCCTTTCTCCCTCTTTCGCCCTCCTTCTACCTCTCGCTTCGTTTCTCCCTGTCCCTCTTCCTCTCCCTATCCCTCTCCCTATCCCTCCTTTTCCCCCTCCATTTCCCTCTCCTTCTCCCTCTCTATTTCTCTTTCCCTCTTCCTCTCCCTCTCCGTCTCCCTTTCCCTCTCTCTCTCCCTCCTCCTTTCCCTCTCCCTCTCTCACTCATTTTCCTTCTCCCTCTCCCTTCCCTTCTCCTTCTCCATTTCCATCTCCCTTACGTTATTATACCTCTCCCTTTCTCCTTTCCGCTCACTTCAAAATCTTCCTTTAATTCTCTCCTCCTTTCCCATTTCAAGCCTTCTATCTTCCATTTTCTTCCTCTTCTTCCCTCCTCTCTCCCTCCTTTATTTACCTCCCTCACCCACTTTTCTCCCTATCCCCTCCCTTCCCCATCTCCCTTTTCGTGTACAATTCCCCTCCCTTTCCCCTCCATCTCTCTTCTTCCCTTTTAGCCCCCTTCCCTTCCCTTCCTCCTCTGCTCTTTTCTCCCTCTTTCTCTAACCTTCTCCCTCTTCCCCTTTTCTTCTTAAAATCCCCTTTCTTCACCTCCTTTCTCCTCCCCCTTCCTTCTTCTTAGTCTTAACAGATGTGTATAATCTAATGATCTGTCCTACATGGAAATCAAAACTTCAATTATTGATCATTCTCATCATTATCATTGTTGTTGTTGATATTGGTGTTATATTGATTTTGATTATAATTGTTATTGATTTTGATATTATTTCTTTTTTGTGATTATTGTTGTTATTATTACCATCGTTTTCGATGATAATTATTATCATTGTTTTTGTTAATGTTATTGTTATTATTATAATTTTTTTATAAATAGGATTATTATTATATTATATTTTTGTTATAAATAGGATTATTATTATTATTATTATTATTATTATCATTATTATTATTATTATTATTATTATTATTATCATTATCATTATTATTATCATTACTATTATGATAACTATAGCTGTTCCAGTGATAATGATAGTAATAGCAATGATGTTAGTGATAATACTAGTAATGGTAATAAAAATGATAATAACTATTATTGTTTTATTATTATTATTATCATTATTTTTTTATTAACATTATTATTATTATTATTATTATTATTATTATTATTATTATTATTATTATTATTATCATTATTAATATTATTACTGTTATCATCATTATTGTTTTTATTAATTGTTATCATTATTGTTATTGTTTTAAGTAGTTGTACTATTGTTATTGATATTATTGTTATTGTAATTGTTGGTATTAATTTTGTATTTTGTATTTTTGTTATTATTATTATTGCTTTTGTTGTTAATATCATCATCTTCATTATTGCCATTATTATCATTATCAATATTATTGTTACTATTATTTTCTTTTATTGTTATTATT